AGGTCAGGGGAGAGAGAGAGAGAGAGAGGTCAGGGAGAGAGAGAGAGAGAGAGGTCAGGGAGAGAGAGAGAGAGAGAGGTCAGGGAGAGAGAGAGAGGTCAGAGAGAGAGAGAGAGAGGTCAGAGAGAGAGAGAGAGAGAGAGAGGTCAGAGAGAGAGAGAGAGAGGTCAGGGAGAGAGAGAGAGAGAGGTCAGAGAGAGAGAGAGAGAGGTCAGGGAGAGAGAGAGAGAGAGAGAGAGAGAGAGAGGTCAGGGAGGAGAGAGAGAGAGAGAGAGAGAGAGGTCAGGGGAGAGAGAGAGAGAGAGAGAGAGAGAGAGGTCAGGGAGAGAGAGAGAGAGGTCAGGGAGAGAGAGAGAGGTCAGGGAGAGAGAGAGAGAGAGAGAGAGGTCAGGGAGAGAGAGAGAGAGAGAGGTCAGGGAGAGAGAGAGAGAGAGAGGTCAGAGAGAGAGAGAGAGGTCAGGGAGAGAGAGAGAGAGGTCAGGGAGAGAGAGAGAGAGGTCAGAGAGAGAGAGAGAGAGAGAGAGAGAGAGAGAGAGAGAGAGAGAGAGGTCAGGGAGAGAGAGAGAGAGAGAGAGAGAGGTCAGGGAGAGAGAGAGAGAGAGAGAGAGAGGTCAGAGGAGAGAGAGAGAGAGAGAGGTCAGGGAGAGAGAGAGAGAGAGAGAGGTCAGGGAGAGAGAGAGAGAGAGAGAGAGGTCAGGGAGAGAGAGAGAGAGAGAGGTCAGGGAGAGAGAGAGAGAGAGAGAGGGAGGAGAGAGAGAGAGAGAGGTCAGGAGAGAGAGAGAGAGAGAGAGGTCAGGGAGAGAGAGAGAGAAGAGAGAGAGAGAGGTCAGGGAGAGAGAGAGAGAGAGAGGTCAGAGAGAGAGAGAGAGAGAGGTCAGGGAGAGAGAGAGAGAGAGAGAGAGAGAGAGAGAGAGGTCAGGGAGAGAGAGAGAGAGGTCAGGGAGAGAGAGAGAGAGAGAGAGAGGTCAGGGAGAGAGAGAGAGAGAGAGAGAGAGAGAGAGAGGTCAGGGAGAGAGAGAGAGAGGTCAGGGAGAGAGAGAGAGAGAGTCAGAGAGAGGAGAGAGAGAGAGAGAGGTCAGGGAGAGAGAGAGAGGTCAGGGAGAGAGAGAGAGAGAGAGAGAGAGAGAGAGAGAGGTCAGGGAGAGAGAGAGAAAGGTCAGGGAGAGAGAGAGAGAGAGAGGTCAGGGAGAGAGAGAGAGAGAGAGAGAGAGGTCAGGGAGAGAGAGAGAGAGAGAGAGAGAGGTCAGGGAGAGAGAGAGAGAGGTCAGGGGAGAGAGAGAGAGAGAGGTCAGGGAGAGAGAGAGAGAGAGAGAGGTCAGGAGAGAGAGAGAGAGAGAGGTCAGGGAGAGAGAGAGAGAGAGGTCAGGGAGGAGAGAGAGAGAGAGAGAGGTCAGGGAGAGAGAGAGAGAGAGAGAGAGGTCAGGGAGAGAGAGAGAGAGAGGTCAGGGAGAGAGAGAGAGAGAGGTCAGGGAGAGAGAGAGAGAGAGAGAGGTCAGGGAGAGAGAGAGAGAGGTCAGGGAGAGAGAGAGAGAGAGAGAGGTCAGGGAGAGAGACCAGAGAGAGAGAGAGGCCAAAGAGAGAGAGGCCAGGGAGAGAGACCAGAGAGAGAGAGAGATACCAGAGAGAGAGAGACCAGAAAGAGAGAGACCAGAGAGAGAGAGACCCTCTGGAAATGGGTCCCAGGCGCTGTTACTATGGAGACCACTGCTCAGGATGGGTCAAATGCAGAGGAAAAATTGCTCTAGGGGATAAATAAAGTGCACATTTATACCCTTTAGAGTTTTTTCTACTTTGAGGTTGTTTCTAAATTCAACCTTAAAACAACAATGTCCCATTTATTAAACACTAAACTAAAGTTTGATCTTCTCGCATATAAGTTACTGCATCTGCTCATGGTCACAGGCCACTGCCACTACAGTCATGCCACTACAAATGATTTATAACAGAGCGGTTAAAATCCTAGACAGGAAGCCCATTAGGTCACATCATTGTATCAGTCTGAGGAATTTAAACATTTTATCTTTTGAAAACTTTATTAAATTTTCCCAGCTGAAGCTGATGCACAAATGTTTGAACCAGCAAGCCCCACAGGTCTTGAGTGAGTGTATAGTTCCTCTCAGGGCTGTGGGCTCAAGGACTAGAGGAGCTCAGAACGGGAACTGTCAGATCCCGAAACGAAATACTTCATTTGGACAATCAGCTTTTTCCGTACAAGGCACTAAAGCCTGGAACTGTTTACCCACTGACCTGAAGGGAGAGTCAAACTGGGTCACTTTCAAACACGAACTTAAAGACTCTTTAATCAGAGGTCAGAAATGTGACCACTGACCGTCTGCTCTGTTGTGTTTGTGTTGTACTGTATTATGATATGTGTTTTAATTATGTTTTAACCATGTATTGTTTAATTTTTATGTAAAGGCCCAACTAGGGACGGACATTGAGAATTAGCTTTGGCTAAAATGTTGTAGTATGTAACATGAGCTTATGTGACATACTTGTCCCTATTCAAATAAACTTAAATAAAATAAAATAAAAAAATAAGTTAAATAAATTTAGTGAGAAACAAAACCATTCAGAAACCCACCCGTCCATCACGGCGCCATTACGCTCCGTTCTTCTTCCCACAATTACCTCGACTCTTGATATCGGGATTAAGCCGTATGCTAATGTGGCTGGCGTTAGCATGTTCCGTCAGCCCAGCACCTCGTTCCAAAGCCATAATTATCATTAAAGCTAACATATATGGCGGGTGCGGGACACATGGGACCTCCGCCTTTCTGATTAATTCTCTGTGTTAAAGCGCGGTGCGGAGGGGAGCGCTAAATGTTGATTAAACGCATTTATAAAAGAGTAGCCCGCTGACTTTGGCATCTCGTTATCTCGTAAGACGGAGCGTTTGCCGGTGCCTTCAGGTGCGCGGGGAAACGGGCCCACAGACGCAATATTCACTAAAAATATCCTCAGGGTGTAATGGTTATATTTGTTTAGTGTTTATGCGAGGAGGGGGGAGGAAAAGTATTAACATGTGGCGCTGAGAGGTGAGAGTGTTCGTGTGAAGGTGAAGACACGAGAGGTTTGGGTGAGAGAGAGAGAGAGAGAGAGCAGGGGAGGGAGCAGAGAGAGGGAGAGAGGGAGAGGGAGAGAGAGAGAGAGAGAGCAGGGGAGGGAGCAGAGAGAGGGAGAGAGAGAGCAGGGGAGGGAGCAGAGAGAGAGAGAGAGAGCAGAGAGAGCAGGGGAGGGAGCAGGGGGAGAGAGAGAGCAGAGAGAGAGAGAGAGAGAGCAGAGAGAGCAGGGGAGGGAGCAGGGGAGAGAGAGAGAAAGAGAGAGAGAGCAGGGGAGGGAGCAGAGAGAGAGAGAGAGAGAGCAGAGAGAGCAGGGGAGGGAGCAGGGGAGAGAGAGAGCAGAGAGAGAGAGAGAGAGAGCAGAGAGAGCAGGGGAGAGAGAGAGAAAGAGAGAGAGAGCAGGGGAAAGAGCAGGGGAGAGAGAGAGCAGAGAGAGAGAGAGCAGAGAGCAGAAAGAGAGAGAGAGCAGAGAGAGCAGAGAGCGAGAGAGAGAGCAGAGAGAGAGAGAGCAGAGAGCAGAAAGAGAGAGAGAGCAGAGAGAGCAGAGAGCGAGAGAGAGAGCAGAGAGAGCAGAGAGAGAGAGAGAGCAGAGAGAGCAGAGAGTGAGAGAGAGAGAGAGCAGAGAGAGAGCAGAGAGAGAGCAGAGAGAGTGAGAGAGAGAGAGAGAGAGGCAGAGAGCAGGGGAGGGAGAGAGAGGGAGACAGAGAGAGAGAGAGAGAGAGAGCAGAGGGAGCAGAGAGAGGGAGAGAGAGAGAGCAGAGGGAGAGAGCAGAAAGAGAGTCGAGAGAGTAGGGGAGAGACAACAGAGAGTAGGGGAGAGACAACAGAGAGCAGGGGAGAGACAACAGAGAGCAGGGGAGAGACAACAGAGAGCAGGGGAGAGAGCAGAGAGAGAGAGTGTAGAGAGAGGAGCGAGAGTAGAGAAAGAGAGAGCAGAGAGCTGGGGAAAGAGCAGAAGAGATACCATAGAGAGTGGAGAGAGATCAGAGAGAGAAGGGGAGAGAGTAGAGAGAAGAGGAGAGAGAGCAGAAAGAGAGAGCAGTGGGTAAGTAGTGAGTGGGTGTGAGTGGGATGTATCTTTAGCAACAAAAGAAGCAACGGCAAAAACTTCATTTCAAAATAAATGAGACATATTTTAATTTATTCTGGCTCCTTTTGACATGTTTCTGTTTGTCATTATTTTGGACTGAACCATGTTCTCTGTGAATCGGTTTTCACGTTTATAGAAATCGGTCGTCTGCCTTTTCTGGACCAATGTCTCTTTTCCTCCCGCTGCAAAAACTGACGGAAAATTATTCAAAAATAGCTTAAATTTGGCAAAATGTGTTTTAATCTGAGCACATTCTGACTTAAAACAGGATTCTCCGATGGGACAAAACAAAATGATCTTGTTTTAAAAAGATACAGAAATGTTTTTTTGGAATGAGGAAATAAAGCGACAGTTCTTGAATTCAGACTAAATGGTTTGGTCCGTTGGATTATTTAGTTTTAAAATCCTTGTATTGAATTATCGTATCATACTGTACATATTACAGGTAACCAAGGCGACAGAAGCTGAGTCTGTAGAACATTGGCATTTGGACCTTTGAGCCTGAAGGTCGTGGGTTCGAGTCCACCACAAGACTTTCTCCACCGACTCCCACTGATGTCTGCTGTCGTTGTGTCCTTGGGCAAGACACTTAACCTCTGGGAACAGCAGGTGCCACAGTGGGGCGGCTGTAAAGTGCCAAACTGTGGTTGTGTCCTTAGGCAAGACACTTCCCCCACATTAGAATGAGTCTGGTGCGTGTGAGAATGGTTGGTGGTGGTGGGAGGGGCCGATGGCACAGACTGGTTGCCTCGCTTCTGTCAGTGTGCCCCAGGGCAGCTGTGGCTACAGTAGTTTATCACCACCATGTTTGGAGAGAATAAAACCAACGCATTATTATTATATTTTCATCACGTGAACCCCATCGCCTGCAGCCTTTGGCCTCCTCCCGCTCCGTGAACACTGTCCTCGCTCTGTAAACTCCCTGGTCCTTGTGGCGGGGATTGAGAGAAACCCTGTGTCGTGTGTATATTGTGTGTTCCATTGCCTCCTGCTGTTGTGGCTTCGTGCCAAACTTGTGCGGTCCCACGCCAGGCCCCTGCGGACCGCCCTTCCTCCCGGAAAACACTGCTCTTTTGGACAGGACTCCACCGCGGCCCGGCTCCTGCCAAAACGGACCCAGATCGCGGCCAAACCTCCCCCCCCCCCCCGTGTGTGTTTTTACCCAGCATGCCGTGGGGAGAGGATGGCGGCGCCGCGGGGGAGGCCATCCGGGCCGGAGACACGGGAGGCGGAGGTCCCATGGAACAGAAGACATGGACACAACACTAACACAACACAACACTAACACAACACTAACACAACACAACATAACACAACACTAACACAACACTAACACAACACTAACACAACACAACACTAACACAACACTTACACAACACAACACAACACTAACACAACACTAACACAACACAACACAACACAACACTAACACAACACTAACACAACACTAACACAACACAACACTAACACAACACTAACACAACACAACATAACACAACACTAACACAACACTAACACAACACTAACACAACACAACACTAACACAACACTAACACACACACAACAACACAACACTAACACAACACAACACTAACACAACACTAACACAACACAACACTAACCCAACACTAACCCAACACTAACACAACACTAACACAACACTAACACAACACTAACACAACACTAACACAACACTAACACAACACAACATAACACAACACTAACACAACCCTAACACAACACTAACACAACACTAACACAAACACAACATAACACAACACTAACACAACCCTAACACAACACAACACAACACTAACACAACACAACACTAACCCAACACTAACACAACACTAACACTAACATAACACTAACACAACACAACACAACACTAACACAACCCTAACACAACACTAACACAACACAACACAACACAACACTAACACAACACAACACTAACACAACACAACATAACACAACACTAACACAACACTAACACAACACAACACTAACACAACACTAACACAACACAACAACTAACACAACACTAACACAACACAACACAACACTAACACAACACTAACACAACACTAACACAACACAACACTAACACAACACTAACACAACACAACATAACACAACACTAACACAACACTAACACAACACAACACTAACACAACACTAACACAACACAACACTAACACAACACTAACACAACACAACACTAACACAACACTAACACAACACAACACTAACCTAACACTAACCCAACACTAACACAACACTAACACAACACTAACACAACACTAACACAACACTAACACAACACTAACACAACACAACATAACACAACACTAACACAACCCTAACACAACACTAACACAACACTAACACAACACAACACTAACACAACACTAACACAACACAACACTAACACAACACTAACACAACACAACACAACACAACACTAACACAACACAACATAACACAACACTAACACAACACTAACACAACACTAACACAACACAACACTAACACAACACTAACACAACACTAACCCAACACTAACCCAACACTAACACAACACTAACACAACACTAACACAACACTAACACAACACTAACACAACACAACATAACACAACACTAACACAACCCTAACACAACACTAACACAACACTAACACAACACAACATAAACACAACACTAACACAACCCTAACACAACACAACACAACACTAACACAACACAACACTAACCCAACACTAACACAACACTAACACTAACATAACACTAACACAACACAACACTAACACAACCCTAACACAACACTAACACAACACAACACAACACTAACACAACACAACACAACACTAACACAACACAACACTAACACAACACTAACACAACACAAAACAACACTAACACAACACAACATTAACACAACACTAACACAACACTAACACAACACAACACTAACACAACACTAACACAACACAACACTAACACAACACTAACACAACACTAACACTAACACAACACTAACACAACACTAACACAACACAACACAACACTAACACAACACAACACAACACTAACACAACCCTAACACAACACTAACACAACACAACACAACACTAACACAACACTAACACAACACTAACACAACACAACACTAACACAACACTAACACAACACAACATAACACAACACTAACACAACACTAACACAACACAACACTAACACAACACTAACACAACACAACACTAACACAACACTAACACAACACAACACAACACTAACACAACACTAACACAACACAACACTAACCCAACACTAACCCAACACTAACACAACACTAACACAACACTAACACAACACTAACACAACACTAACACAACACTAACACAACACAACATAACACAACACTAACACAACCCTAACACAACACTAACACAACACTAACACAACACAACACTAACACAACACTAACACAACACAACACAACACTAACACAACACTAACACAACACAACACTAACACAACACAACATAACACAACACTAAAACAACACTAACACAACACTAACACAACACAACACTAACACAACACTAACACAACACTAACACAACACTAACACAACACAACACAACACTAACCCAACACTAACACAACACTAACACAACACTAACACAACACTAACACAACACTAACACAACACTAACACAACACAACATAACACAACACTAACACAACCCTAACACAACACTAACACAACACTAACACAACACAACACTAACACAACACTAACACAACACAACACTAACACAACACTAACACAACACAACACAACACAACACTAACACAACACAACATAACACAACACTAACACAACACTAACACAACACTAACACAACACAACACTAACACAACACTAACACAACACAACACTAACCCAACACTAACCCAACACTAACACAACACTAACACAACACTAACACAACACTAACACAACACTAACACAACACTAACACAACACAACATAACACAACACTAACACAACCCTAACACAACACTAACACAACACTAACACAACACAACATAACACAACACTAACACAACCCTAACACAACACAACACAACACTAACACAACACAACACTAACCCAACACTAACACAACACTAACACTAACATAACACTAACACAACACAACACTAACACAACCCTAACACAACACTAACACAACACAACACAACACTAACACAACACAACACAACACTAACACAACACAACACTAACACAACACTAACACAACACAAAACAACACTAACACAACACAACATTAACACAACACTAACACAACACTAACACTAACACAACACTAACACAACACAACACTAACACAACACTAACACAACACTAACACTAACACAACACTAACACAACACTAACACAACACAACACAACACAACACTAACACAACACAACACAACACTAACACAACCCTAACACAACACTAACACAACACAACACAACACTAACACAACACTAACACAACACTAACACAACACAACACTAACACAACACTAACACAACACAACATAACACAACACTAACACAACACTAACACAACACAACACTAACACAACACTAACACAACACAACACTAACACAACACTAACACAACACAACACAACACTAACACAACACTAACACAACACTAACCCAACACTAACCCAACACTAACACAACACTAACACAACACTAACACAACACTAACACAACACTAACACAACACTAACACAACACAACATAACACAACACTAACACAACCCTAACACAACACTAACACAACACTAACACAACACAACACTAACACAACACTAACACAACACAACACTAACACAACACTAACACAACACAACACTAACACAACACAACATAACACAACACTAACACAACACTAACACAACACTAACACAACACAACACTAACACAACACTAACACAACACAACACAACACTAACACAACACTAACACAACACAACACTAACACAACACTAACACAACACAACACTAACCCAACACTAAACACAACACTAACACAACACTAACACAACACTAACACAACACTAACACAACACTAACACAACACAACATAACACAACACTAACACAACCCTAACACAACACTAACACAACACTAACACAACACAACATAACACAACACTAACACAACCCTAACACAACACAACACAACACTAACACAACACAACACTAACCCAACACTAACACAACACTAACACTAACATAACACTAACACAACACAACACAACACTAACACAACCCTAACACAACACTAACACAACACAACACAACACAACACTAACACAACACAACACAACACTAACACAACACAACACTAACACAACACTAACACAACACTAACACAACACAACACAACACTAACACAACACAACATTAACACAACACTAACACAACACTAACACAACACAACACTAACACAACACTAACACAACACAACACTAACACAACACTAACACAACACTAACACTAACACAACACTAACACAACACTAACACAACACAACACAACACAACACTAACACAACACAACACTAACACAACCCTAACACAACACTAACACAACACAACACAACACTAACACAACACAACACTAACACAACACTAACACAACACAACACTAACACAACACAACACAACACTAACACAACACTAACACAACAAAACACAACACTAACACAACACTTACACAACACAACACAACACTAACACAACACTAACACAACAAAACACAACACTAACACAACACTAACACTGCACAAACGAAAACATGTGACGGAGGAAAAGACTTGGATTCAAAATGTAGAGTTTAATGAAAAGAATCTGAGAATCTGCTGATTTTGAGTTATTTAAATGTCTCAAGTTTTGTTTTTCTTCATGATTTACAGTCCATCCTCAGCAGAAGGGTGATTATAGTTAGGGTGGTAGAGAGAGACCAGAGAGAGAGACCAGAGAGAGAGACCAGAGAGAGAGACCAGAGAGAGGACTAGAGAGAGACCAGAGAGAGGACTAGAGAGAGAGAGACCAGAGAGAGACCAGAGAGAGGACTAGAGAGAGACCAGAGAGAGGACTAGAGAGAGAGAGACCAGAGAGAGGACTCGAGAGAGAGAACAAGAGAGAGAGAGACCAGAGAGAGGACTAGAGAGAGAGAGACCAGAGAGAGGACTCGAGAGAGAGAACAAGAGAGAGAGAGACCAGAGAGAGGACTAGAGAGAGAGAGACCAGAGAGAGGACTAGAGAGAGAGAGAGAGACCAGAGAGAGAGAGACCAGAGAGAGAAGTAAGTAATGTTTATTTATATACCGCCTTTCACAGACCAGAGTCACAAAGCGGTTTACAATTGTTATTATTATTTTTGGGCATTTGTCTCTCACTCCACACAGAGATGGGAGCGGGGCCAGTACAGAAGGCACATGCCAGAACTATTGGACATGTTTTAGTGGTAGGGGAAACCTACGCAGACACAGGGAGAACATGCAAACTCCACTCAGAAAGGCCCTGGTCCGACCGGGATTTGAACCCAGGACCTTCCTGCTGAGAGGCGAGACTGCTAAGCACTCAGCCACCGTGCCACCCACGGAGAAGGACTAGAGAGAGAGACCCCAGAGAGAGGACTAGAGAGAGAGACCAGAGAGAGGAAGAGTAGAGAGAGAGAGACCAGAGAGAGGAAGAGTAGAGAGAGAGAGTCCAGAGAAAGAAATTAGAGAGAGAGACCAGATAGACTACAGAGAGAGAAAGAGAGAGGCCAGAGAGAGAAAAATCCGAAAGAGAGACCTGAGAGACAGTCTAAAGAGAGAAAGAGATCCAGAGAGAGAGTCTACAGGGAGAGATCCAGAAAGTCTAAAGAGAGAGAGAGAGAGTTTAAAGAGAGAGAGACCAGAAATAGAAAGACCAGAGAGAGTGCAGAGACAGTCTACACAGACAAATAGATCCAGAGAAAGAGACCAGAGAGAGAGAGAGAGAGAGAGAGAGAGAGAGAGAGAGAGAGAGAGAGAGAGAGAGAGAGAGAGAGAGAGAGAGAGAGAGAGAGAGAGAGAGAGAGAGAGAGAGAGAGAGAGAGAGAGAGAGAGAGAGAGAGAGAGAGAGAGAGAGAGAGAGAGAGAGAGACAAATCTTAGCAAAACGTGTTTAATACAGTCAGAATGTCATAAAAACCGCTTGATTTGTGCAATCGTCATTTTTTAATTCTTACGTATAATTAGTCATTTTTTCCAGTCAAATAATTCTAAATCCTTTAAATAATTTAACTAACAGTTGTAACAGAGTCTTACTTATTTATACCAGTTTTAGCGTCGCTGGTCCCTGCTTTGGCGTCGCTGGTCCCTGCTTTGGCGTCGCTGGTCCCTGCTTTGGCGTCGCCGGTCCCTTCTTTGGCGTCGCTGGTCCCTGCTTTGGCGTCGCTGGTCCCTGCTTTGGCATCGCTGGTCCCTGCTTTGGCATCGCTGGTCCCTGCTTTGGCGTCGCTGGTCCCTGCTTTGGCGTCACTGGTCCCTGCTTTGGCGTCTCTGGTCCCTGCTTTGGCGTCGCTGGTCCCTGCTTTGGCGTCGCTGGTCCCTGCTTTGGCATCGCTGGTCCCTGCTTTGGCGTCGCTGGTCCCTGCTTTGGCGTCGCTGGTCCCTGCTTTGGCGTCGCTGGTCCCTGCTTTGGCGTCGCCGGTCCCTGCTTTGGCGTCGCTGGTCCCTGCTTTGGCGTCGCTGGTCCCTGCTTTGGCATCGCTGGTCCCTGCTTTGGCATCGCTGGTCCCTGCTTTGGCGTCGCTGGTCCCTGCTTTGGCGTCGCTGGTCCCTGCTTTGGCGTCTCTGGTCCCTGCTTTGGCGTCGCTGGTCCCTGCTTTGGCGTCGCTGGTCCCTGCTTTGGCATCGCTGGTCCCTGCTTTGGCGTCGCTGGTCCCTGCTTTGGCGTCGCTGGTCCCTGCTTTGGCGTCGCTGGTCCCTGCTTTGGCGTCGCTGGTCCCTGTTTTGGCGTCGCTGGTCCCTGCTTTGGCGTCGCTGGTCCCTGCTTTGGCGTCTCTGGTCCCTGCTTTGGCGTCGCTGGTCCCTGCTTTGGCGTCTCTGGTCCCTGCTTTGGCGTCGCTGGTCCCTGCTTTGGCGTCGCTGGTCCCTGCTTTGGCGTCGCTGGTCCCTGCTTTGGCGTCGCTGGTCCCTGCTTTGGCGTCGCTGGTCCCTGCTTTGGCGTCGCTGGTCCCTGCTTTGGCGTCGCCGGTCCCTGCTTTGGCGTCGCTGGTCCCTGCTTTGGCGTCGCTGGTCCCTGCTTTGGCATCGCTGGTCCCTGCTTTGGCATCGCTGGTCCCTGCTTTGGCGTCGCTGGTCCCTGCTTTGGCGTCGCTGGTCCCTGCTTTGGCGTCTCTGGTCCCTGCTTTGGCGTCGCTGGTCCCTGCTTTGGCGTCGCTGGTCCCTGCTTTGGCATCGCTGGTCCCTGCTTTGGCGTCGCTGGTCCCTGCTTTGGCGTCGCTGGTCCCTGCTTTGGCGTCGCTGGTCCCTGCTTTGGCGTCGCTGGTCCCTGTTTTGGCGTCGCTGGTCCCTGCTTTGGCGTCGCTGGTCCCTGCTTTGGCGTCTCTGGTCCCTGCTTTGGCGTCGCTGGTCCCTGCTTTGGCGTCTCTGGTCCCTGCTTTGGCGTCGCTGGTCCCTGCTTTGGCGTCGCTGGTCCCTGCTTTGGCGTCGCTGGTCCCTGCTTTGGCGTCGCTGGTCCCTGCTTTGGCGTCGCTGGTCCCTGCTTTGGCGTCGCTGGTCCCTGCTTTGGCGTCGCTGGTCCATGCTTTGGCGTCGCTGGTCCCTGCTTTGGCGTCGCTGGTCCCTGCTTTGGCGTCGCTGGTCCCTGCTTTTACCATGTGTTAAAACCGAGGCCTCAAACTCCGCCTGTTTCCACTGCACCATCTGTTTCCCAAACTCTTATCGGAGCTAAAAATAAACTCTTTGCCACATTTGAATTTCTCTTATTTTCTGAGCCGCGAAGGGAAGAAAAAAAAAAGAAGAATGAAATATAACGGCGGTAAAGTTAGTCCTTAGTTTGACGATCTCGCACAGGCCCTAATTTAACAACAACAGCCTGAGCCGGCGACACAGATATCACCGTTAATTGGACAACGTTGCTCTTTATAAAGTTAAAATGTGTCGTGTTCAGGAGACACCAGAGGACGCTACCATCAACGACGGATGCAAAGAGCAGCTAAAAATACTCTGAATTTACACATGGTTTTTCTCTGAGTCTGGGCCCCTCTGCTCTCAGCTCGCACAGACCAAAGGTTTTAGGAACAGGCTTAAGTTTAGTTTTATCTATTTAAAGAGACAGAGTTAGCCTGGACGTACTAAGTTCTGGTGGGAGGGGTTAACTCCTTTTGCTAAACGTTTTTCTTGCTCCAGCTTCAGTTTCTTGATTGAAAGAGTCCAGAGAGAAAAACCAGAGAGACCAGAGACAGAGAGTCTAAAGAGAGAGACCAGAGACAGAGAGTCTAAAGAGAGAGACCAGAGACAGAGAGTCTAAAGAGAGAGACCAGAGACAGAGAGTCTAAAGAGAGAGACCAGAGACAGAGAGTCTAAAGAGAGAGACCAGAGACAGAGAGTCTAAAGAGAGAGACCAGAGACAGAGAGTCTAAAGAGAGAGACCAGAGACAGAGAGTCAAAAGAGAGAGACCAGAGACAGAGAGTCTAAAGAGAGAGACCAGAGACAGAGAGTCTAAAGAGAGAGACCAGAGACAGAGAGTCTAAAGAGAGAGACCAGAGACAGAGAGTCTAAAGAGAGAGACCAGAGACAGAGAGTCTAAAGAGAGAGACCAGAGACAGAGAGTCTAAAGAGAGAGACCAGAGACAGAGAGTCTAAAGAGAGAGACCAGAGACAGAGAGTCTAAAGAGAGAGACCAGAGACAGAGAGTCTAAAGAGAGAGACCAGAGACAGAGAGTCTAAAGAGAGAGACCAGAGACAGAGAGTCTAAAGAGAGAGACCAGAGAGAGAGAGTCTAAAGAGAGAGACCAGAGGAGAGACCAGAGAGAGACAGAGAGAGAGTCTAAAGAGAGAGACCAGAGAGAGAGTCTAAAGAGAGAGACCAGAGAGAGAGTCTAAAGAGAGAGACCAGAGACAGAGAGTCTAAAGAGAGAGACCAGAGAGAGAGCCAAAGAGAGAGACCAGAGAGAGAGACTAAGAGAGAGACCAAGAGAGAGAGTCTAAAGAGAGAGACCAGAGAGAGAGAGTCAAGAGAGAACCAGAGAGAGACCAGAGAGAGAGAGAGAGAGTCTAAAGAGAGAGACCAGAGAGAGAGAGTCTAAAGAGAGAGACCAGAGAAGAGATCTAAGAGAGAGACCAGAGAGAGAGAGTCTAAAGAGAGAGACCAGAGGAGAGAGTCTAAAGAGAGAGACCAGAGAGAGAGAGTCTAAAGAGAGAGACCAAGAGAGAGACCAAGAGAGAGTCTAAAGAGAGAGACCAGAGAGAGAGAGTCTAAAGAGAGAGACCAGAGAGAGAGAGTCTAAAGAGAGAGACCAGAGAGAGAGTCTAAAGAGAGAGACCAGAGAGAGAGTCTAAAGAGAGAGACCAGAGAGAGAGACCTAAAGAGAGAGACCAGAGAGAGAGTCTAAAGAGAGAGACCAGAGAGAGACCAGAGAAGAGAAAGAGAGAGACCAGAGAGAGAGACCAGAGAGAGAGACCAGAGAGAGAGACCAAAGAGAGAGACCAGAGAGAGAGACTAAGAGAGAGACCAGAGAGAGACCAGAGAGAGACCAGAGAGAGAGACCAGAGAGAGACCAGAGAGAGACCAAGAGAGAGAGACCAGAGAGAGAGACCAGAGAGAGAGACCAGAGAGAGAGACTAAAGAGAGAGACCAGAGAGAGAGACTAAGAGAGAGACCAGAGAGAGAGACCAGAGAGAGACCAGAGAGAGACCAGAGAGAGACCAGAAGAGAGAGACCAGAGAGAGACCAGAGAGAGACTAAAGAGAGAGACCAGAGAGAGACCTAAAGAGAGAGACCAGAGAGAGAGACCAGAGAGAGACCAAGAGAGAGACCAGAGAGAGACTAAAGAGAGAGACCAGAGAGAGAGACCAGAGAGAGACCAGAGAGAGAGAGACCAGAGAGAGAGACCAGAGAGAGAGACCAGAGAGAGACCAGAGAGAGACCAGAGAGAGAGACCAGAGAGAGACCAGAGAGAGACCAGAGAGAGAGACCAGAGAGAGAGACCAGAGAGAGACCAGAGAGAGACCAGAGAGAGACCAGAGAGAGAGACCAGAGAGAGACCAGAGAGAGACCAGAGAGAGAGACCAGAGAGAGACCAGAGAGAGAGACCAGAGAGAGACCAGAGAGAGACCAGAGAGAGACCAGAAGAGAGAGACTAAAGAGAGAGACCAGAGAGAGACCAAGAGAGAGACCAGAGAGAGACCAGAGAGAGACCAGAGAGAGACCAGAGAGAGAGACCAGAGAGAGACCAGAGAGAGACCAGAGAGAGACCAGAGAGAGACCAGAGAGAGACCAGAGAGAGAGACCAGAGAGAGACCAGAGAGAGACCAGAGAGAGACCAGAGAGAGACCAGAGAGAGAGACCAGAGAGAGACCAGAGAGAGAGACCAGAGAGAGACCAGAGAGAGACCAGAGAGAGACTAGAGAGAGACCAGAGAGAGACCAGAGAGAGAGACCAGAGAGAGACTAGAGAGAGACCAGAGAGAGACCAGAGAGAGAGACCAGAGAGAGACCAGAGAGAGAGACCAGAGAGAGACCAGAGAGAGACCAGAGAGAGACCAGAGAGAGACCAGAGAGAGACCAGAGAGAGACCAGAGAGAGAGACCAGAGAGAGAGACCAGAGAGAGACCAGAGAGAGACCAGAGAGAGAGACCAGAGAGAGACCAGAGAGAGAGACCAGAGAGAGACCAGAGAGAGACCAAGAGAGACCAGAGAGAGAGACCAGAGAGAGAGACCAGAGAGAGACCAGAGAGAGACCAGAGAGAGACCAGAGAGAGACCAGAGAGAGACCAGAGAGAGACCAGAGAGAGACCAGAGAGAGACCAGAGAGAGACCAGAGAGAGACCAGAGAGAGACCAGAGAGAGAGACCAGAGAGAGACCAGAGAGAGACCAGAGAGAGACCAGAGAGAGAGACCAGAGAGAGACCAGAGAGAGACCAGAGAGAGACCAGAGAGAGAGACCAGAGAGAGACCAGAGAGAGACCAGAGAGAGACCAGAGAGAGACCAGAGAGAGAGACCAGAGAGAGACCAAGAGAGAGACCAGAGAGAGACCAGAGAGAGACCAGAGAGAGACCAGAAGAGAGAGACCAGAGAGAGACCAGAGAGAGACCAGAGAGAGAGACCAGAGAGAGACCAGAGAGAGACCAGAGAGAGACCAGAGAGAGAGACCAGAGAGAGAGACCAGAGAGAGACCAGAGAGAGACCAGAGAGAGACCAGAGAGAGAGACCAGAGAGAGACCAGAGAGAGAGACCAGAGAGAGACCAGAGAGAGACCAGAGAGAGACCAGAGAGAGACCAGAGAGAGACCAGAGAGAGAGACCAGAGAGAGACCAGAGAGAGACCAGAGAGAGAGACCAGAGAGAGAGACCAGAGAGAGACCAGAGAGAGAGACCAGAGAGAGACCTAAGAGAGAACCAGAGAGAGACCAGAGAGAGACCAGAGAGAGACCAGAAGAGAGACCAGAGAGACCAGAGAGAGACCAGAGAGAGACCAGAGAGAGACCAGAGAGAGACCAGAGAGAGAGACCAGAGAGAGACCAGAGAGAGACCAGAGAGAGACCAGAGAGAGATAACGACAGAGAGAGACCAGAGAGAGACCATAGAGAGAGACCAGAGAGAGACCAGAGAGACCAGAGAGAGACCAGAGAGAGAGACCAAGAGAGAGACCAGAGAGAGACAAAGAGAGAGACCAGAGAGAGACCAGAGAGAGACCAGAGAGAGAGACCAAGAGAGAGACCAAGAGAGAGACCAGAGAGAGACCAGAGAGAGACCAGAGAGAGACCCGAGAGAGAGACCAGAGAGAGAGACCAGAGAGAGACCAGAGAGAGACCAGAAGAGAGACCAGAGAGAGACCAGAGAGAGACCAGAGAGAGACCAGAGAGAGAGACCAGAGAGAGAGACCAGAGACAGACGCAGAGAGAGACCTAGAGAGACCAGACCAGAGACAAGTGAGACCAGAGAGAGACCAGAGAGAGAGACCAGAGAGAGAGACCAGAAAGAGACCAAGAGAGAGACCAGAGAGAGACCGACAGAAGACCCAGAGTGAGACCAGAGAGAGTGAGACCATAGAGAGTACCAGAGAGAGACCAGAGAGAGAGACCTGAGACAGAAGCAGAGCGAGACCATAGAGAGACCAAGAGAGAGATCCAGACAGAGACCAGAGAGAGACCAAGAGAGACCAGAGAGAGTGAGACCAGAGACAGAGCAAGAGAGAGACCAGAGAGAGACCAGAGAGAGACCAGAGAGAGACCAGTCAGAGACCAGAGTGAGACCAGAGAAGTGAGACCAGAGATAGAGAGACCAGAGAGAGAGACCTGCAGACCGAGACCAGAGAGAGACCAAGAGAGAGACCAGTGAGAGAGACCAGAGAACAGAGACCAGAGAGAGACCAGAGAGAGAGACCAGAGAGAGACCAGAGAGAGACCAGAGAGAGACCAGAGAGAGACCAGAGAGAGACCAGAGAGAGACCAGAGAGAGACCAGAGAGAGACCAGAGAGAGACCAGAGAGAGACCAGAGAGAGACCAGAGAGAGAGACCAGAGAGAGAGACCAGAGAGAGACCAGAGAGAGACCAGAGAGAGACCAGAGAGAGACCAGAGAGAGAGACCAGAGAGAGACCAGAGAGAGACCAGAGAGAGACCAGAGAGAGACCAGAGAGAGACCAGAGAGAGACCAGAGAGAGACCAGAGAGAGACCAGAGAGAGAGACCAGAGAGAGACCAGAGAGAGACCAGAGAGAGACCAGAGAGAGACCAGAGAGAGACCAGAGAGAGACCAGAGAGAGACCAGAGAGAGAGACCAGAGAGAGACCAGAGAGAGACCAGAGAGAGACCAGAGAGAGACCAGAGAGAGACCAGAGAGAGAGACCAGAGAGAGACCAGAGAGAGACCAGAGAGAGACCAGAGAGAGACCAGAGAGAGACCAGAGAGAGACCAGAGAGAGACCAGAGAGAGACCAGAGAGAGACCAGAGAGAGACCAGAGAGAGACCAGAGAGAGACCAGAGAGAGACCAGAGAGAGACCAGAGAGAGACCAGAGAGAGACCAGAGAGAGACCAGAGAGAGACCAGAGAGAGACCAGAGAGAGACCAGAGAGAGACCAGAGAGAGACCAGAGAGAGACCAGAGAGAGACCAGAGAGAGACCAGAGAGAGACCAGAGAGAGACCAGAGAGAGACCAGAGAGAGACCAGAGAGAGACCAGAGAGAGACCAGAGAGAGACCAGAGAGAGACCAGAGAGAGACCAGAGAGAGACCAGAGAGAGACCAGAGAGAGACCAGAGAGAGACCAGAGAGAGACCAGAGAGAGACCAGAGAGAGACCAGAGAGAGACCAGAGAGAGACCAGAGAGAGACCAGAGAGAGACCAGAGAGAGACCAGAGAGAGACCAGAGAGAGACCAGAGAGAGACTAAACATTAACCTCAACAGGGAAAGATGCATTGTACCACTTATAACCATAGACTGTAAATCTTAACAGACGTTGCGGCGCTTATCTCCGCTTGCCACCACTTTTACCTTATATGGGCTTTTTCAAAATGGCTGCGGGGGCTGGAAAACGTGGATCCCCTTCTCTCGTCTCGCTCTCATTTCTTGGAATGAGTAAAAATAAAGCAACATATCTTGAAATAAGACGAATTATCTGGTTTTAACACAGTCAGAATGTGTCGGATTTAGACAAAAATCCACTAGATTCAAGCATTTATTGCCTCGTATTGTATATATTTTTTGCAATGTGCTATACAATAAAACTATCCCTGCCTTGCCTATAGTCAAAAGTATTCTTACGACTACACTATAATCATTGGCTCGGTTCTGACACAAACCCGCTCACAGAATTAGCTAAACCCGAGTGTTTTTCGTTAATGTCTCTCTTGTCTCCCTGTATCTGGTCTTTCTCTGGTCTTCTCTAATCTCTCTCGCTCTGGTCTTCTCTAATCTCTCTCGCTCTGGTCTCTCTCTAGACTCCCTACCTCTGGTCTCTCTCTGGTCTCTCTCTTGTTTCTCTCTCTGTTCTCCCTCTGGTCTTTCTCCTCTGGTCTCTCTCTGGTCTGCCTCTTGTCTCTTTCTCTAATCTCTCTCGGTCTGGTCTTTCTCCTCTGGTCTCTCTCTGGTCTCTCTCTTGTTTCTCTCTCTGTTCTCCCTCTGGTCTTTCTCCTCTGTTCTCCCTCATGTCTTTCTCCTCTGGTCTCTCCCTTTGTCTCTTTCTCTGTTCTCCCTCTGGTCTCTCTCTTGTCTCCCTCTGGTCTTTCTCCTCTGGTCTCTCTCTGGTCTCTCTCTTGTCTCTCTAATCTCTCTCGCTCTGGTCTTTCTCCTCTGGTCTCTCCTCTTGTCCCCTCTCTGCTCTCTTTCTGGTCTCTCTCTCGCTGATCTATCCTCTGGTCTCTCTCTGATCTCTCCTCTGGTCTCTCTCTGATCTCTCCTCTGGTCTCTCTCTGATCTCTCCTCTGGTCTCTCTCTGGTCTCTCCTCTGGTCTCTCTCTGGTCTCCTCCTGGTACCTCTACACCTGCCCACATGTTTTAATCCACCGTGATTAAGGCCTTAAACCCAGCCCCCCTCCCTCCCTCCTCCCTCCACATCCTCACGTCCTGATTGGCCGATCGCTTTGTCACTTGGATAATGTAAACAAATCCATCTCTGGTTGTATCCCCGGATGAAAAACCAAAACCCTAGTGTTTCTTAGAGCTGTAATTGAAATGGTGGTTATCTAAAGCTATAGTGAATATATTCTGTATGTTCTGTATTCTGCCTTTATGCTAATGAGCCCCTGCTTAAAGCCCGCTGACCCGATAATCCCTCCTCTTCTTCCTCGCCAAAGTCACCTTGACCTCGGCCCGTTTAACTCCTTCACGTCTGCTCGGATTCGCGGCCGTCGGTGAAGAAGGGAATCACAGAAGTCTCGCTTCTCGTCGCGTGAAGGCGTCAGAGTCAGAGTCAGAGGTCCTTCTGTTCCACGGGGCATCGAGGACCACGGACGAGCGAGGACCAGGACGAGCGAGAACCGGGACGAGCGAGGACCGGGACGAGCGAGGACCGGGACGAGCGAGGACCAGGACGAGCGTGGACCGGGACGAGCGAGGACCGGGATGAGCGAGGACCGGGACGAGCGAGGACCGGGACGAGCGAGGACCGGGACGAGCGAGGACCAGGACGAGCGTGGACCGGGACGAGCGAGGACCGGGACGAGCGAGGACCGGGACGAGCGAGGACCGGGACGAGCGAGGACCGGGACGAGCGAGGACGGGACGAGGACCGGACGAGCGAGGACCGGGACGAGCGAGGACCGGGACGAGCGAGGACCGGGACGAGCGTGGACCGGGACGAGCGAGGACCGGGACGAGCGTGGACCGGGACGAGCGAGGACCGGGACGAGCGAGGACCGGGACGAGCGTGGACCGGGACGAGCGAGGACCGGGACGAGCGTGGACCGGGACGAGCGAGGACCGGGACAAGCGAGGACCAGGACGAGCGAGAACCGGGACGAGCGAGGACCGGGATGAGCGAGGACCAGGACGAGCGAGGACCAGGACGAGCGTGGACCGGGACGAGCGAGGACCGGGACGAGCGAGGACCGGGACGAGCGAGGACCGGGACGAGCGTGGACCGGGACGAGCGAGGACCGGGACGAGCGAGGAATTGGACGAGCGAGGACCGGGACGAGCGTGGACCGGGACGAGCGAGGACCGGGACGAGCGAGGACCGGGACGAGCGAGGACCGGGACGAGCGTGGACCGGGACGAGCGTGGACCGGGACGAGCGAGGACCGGGACGAGCGAGGACCGGGACGAGCGAGGAATTGGACGAGCGAGGACCGGGACGAGCGTGGACCGGGACGAGCGTGGACCGGGACGAGCGAGGACCGGGACGAGCGAGGAATTGGACGAGCGAGGAATTGGACGAGCGAAGACCGGGACGAGCGTGGACCGGGACGAGCGAGGACCGGGACGAGCGAGGACCGGGACGAGCGAGGACCAGGACGAGCGTGGACCGGGACGAGCGAGGACCGGGATGAGCGAGGACCGGGACGAGCGAGGACCGGGACGAGCGAGGACCAGGACGAGCGAGGACCGGGATGAGCGAGGACCAGGACGAGCGAGGACCGGGATGAGCGAGGACCAGGACGAGCGAGGACCAGGACGAGCGTGGACCGGGACGAGCGAGGACCGGGACGAGCGAGGACCAGGACGAGCGAGGACCAGGACGAGCGAGGACCAGGACGAGCGTGGACCGGGACGAGCGAGGACCGGGACGAGCGTGGACCGGGACGAGCGAGGACCGGGACAAGCGAGGACCAGGACGAGCGAGATCCGGGACGAGCGAGGACCGGGATGAGCGAGGACCAGGACGAGCGAGGACCAGGACGAGCGTGGACCGGGACGAGCGAGGACCGGGACGAGCGAGGACCGGGACGAGCGTGGACCGGGACGAGCGAGGACCGGGACGAGCGAGGAATTGGACGAGCGAGGACCGGGACGAGCGTGGACCGGGACGAGCGAGGACCGGGACGAGCGAGGACCGGGACGAGCGAGGACCGGGACGAGCGAGGACCGGGACGAGCGTGGACCGGGACGAGCGTGGACCGGGACGAGCGAGGACCGGGACGAGCGTGGACCGGGACGAGCGAGGACCGGGACGAGCGAGGACCGGGACGAGCGTGGACCGGGACGAGCGTGGACCGGGACGAGCGAGGACCGGGACGAGCGAGGAATTGGAGAGCGAGGAATTGGACGAGCGAAGACCGGGACGAGCGTGGACCGGGACGAGCGAGGACCGGGACGAGCGAGGACCGGGACAAGCGAGGACCGGGACGAGCCTTTGGTCTCTTTCCTTTGGTCTCTCTCTGGTCTCTCAACTTGTCTCCCTCTCTCCGGTCTCTGTCTGGTCTCCTCCTGGTACCTCTACACCTGCCCATCTGTGGAATATAGCCACATGTTTTAATCCACCGTGATTAAGGACTGAAACCCAGCCCCCCTCCCTCCCCCCTCCCCCCTCCCTCCCTCTCTCCCCCCTCCCTCCCCCCTCCACATCCTCACGTCCTGATTGGCCGATCGCTTCGTCACTTGGATAATGTAAACAAATCCATCTCTGTTTTTTCCCTGTTGTATCCCCGGATGCTCTTCCCGGTGAGAGCACTCGGGTCCGTGGCCTTCCCTTCTCCTCATAACTCAGTGTTTATGAAGTGGATATCGGGAGAGGAGCGCCGACCCTCCTCTCGCCCGCCGCATTAATAACCATAAAACCTCTGCGCGTGATTAAGCCAGCGCGCTTTTGCATAATGCTTTGTTTGCGGTGAGCTTTAAGCCATTTAGCATCCGGCCCGAGTCGTGTCAAACAAACCAAGGCGACTTCAAAGTTACTTCTGTCGCTTTCGGCCACTTCCTAAAAAGTTCTTTACGAAGTCTTTGGGAAACTGCTTTGCCTTTTTACAGACTGTGGTCACTCAAAGCACTTTACACTGCTCAGAGTTCAGATGTCGTTCCATTCTCTCCACACGGTGATGACGGAAGCGAGACGCCGAACTCACAGGACCGTCAAAGCCTCCGACCAAACACCCTCCATTCACTCACTCATTACATTCAGACCTATTGTGCATGTTTTTAGCGGTGGGGGAAACTGCATCTGTTGGTTTTATCTTGTCTTCCTGTTTGGGAGAATTGTCCGTGTCTTTTATAAACCACTTTAGCTTGTCCCTTTGGCCAATCTTGTTTTGAGAGAGTTGAAATGCCGAACTAAGACCAATTAGAGAGCCACAAAGTAGTCACGGGGACATAAGTGGGCTAGCGAACAGACTGAAAATACACAGCCAAAACAGGAGCTAAACCAGGACTAAACCAGGACTAAACCAGGACTCCAGCCTAAGTTCCCATTCTCCAGTGACTGTAAACAAGTGCAGAACATGTCAGACAGAAGCACTGTTCAATAGTAAAATAAACTCATGGCGCACCTCAGTGAACACATAAGGCTGTTATAAACTCTTTGGAAGGTCTCAGACACAGAAACTCTGCAAAGCTGGATTCTTGACGCTAGCTTAACTTCGTTAGCATCAGAACACTTTCGCTCTGTGATTTCTTTCCACCGCAGGCCAGGACTTCTGGTCTGAACCAGTGTGGGCGGGTCCCGGCTCAAAAGTGGCCAAAATGACGGGCGCTGACATGCTGCAATACCACACCAGGCCTGTGGGGGTGGACCCAGAAAGGGAAATTATTCAATCCAAATGTACGTATCTTCTTACCTCTGGAAAACGTCTTTACAGAATGGTACAAAAGTGGCTCTTGGCCCAAAGCTCCGTTCCACATGTGTGTCAATGCTGAGTGTTCTGGACCAGTCTAGTTTAGTCGCTGTGGACTTTAGAACTCACTCGTTTAAATGAATGGGGCTCGTGCAGCTGACGCATGCACAGATGTGATTTTTCACATTTTCCAGCCCCCGCGGCCATTTTGAATCTCTCCATGAGAGCCCAATTTTTGGCCCATTAGTTAGAACGGCGGAGATAGGCGTGAGGTCTGTTTATATTTACAGTCTATGGTCTGAACACCCCAAGCGTCTGAAATTAAGAGATTGTGGGTCCAGTGCAGTGCTCTGTGGACTGGGTGGCATCTCTGGCCACCCCCCCGACCCAGAAATGGATTAAGGGGAAGAAAATGGATGGATGGATGGGTCCAGTGCACGTGGAAGCTGCGTTAATGCGTCGGCGCTCTGAACGCCCTTTAATAGAAAAACTCAGATCACTTTTCTTTAAAACAAAAGTATTGTTCATTACTTTGTCATTTCTCGGGTGAAATTACAATTGTTTACATCATATGGCAGCTTTTTAGGTCAAGGCACATGTCATTTATCCTCGACACATCCAGATATGGACTCAGGTCTCAGTCTGGACCAGAGCTGGAGGATTCTGTTTTTAGTGCTAGGGGAAACCGGAGCAGCTGGAGGAAACCCACACAGACACGGGATTCAAACCCAGTACTAGCCACTGTCCCACCCTTGCAGCTGTTAGCTTTCTAAATAGGAGGAAAACTAAAAAATCTGACTCCTCCCCCTAGTGGCAGAATAGGGAGTTACAGGTCCCTTCATAATTATTTCACCATGTTATCTTCTTTTTTCACATAAAAAACACAAAATGACAAAGTAAAACGTGTCAAATTTAACATCCTAAAATGATCCACTGTAGTCTTTGAGTAAAACACATCCTTTCTGACTAAACCCGTCCCCAGAGTGAGTCTCGTTCCGCTCGGCTCCGCCTCACTCTCCCGGTCCTTGTATTAATCTGACCAACGTTGTGTTTTTATGGAGAATTTCATGGAGATGTTATTTTACGACCACATCACTCCCTCTGCTGCGGAAATATGTTGTTTTAGCGCAGGCCGTTATAAATCTGGACAGCTACAGTAAAAAACAGAGAGCATGAAGAGGCTCGTAAATATGGGAGAACCGACGCCAGAAAGACTCAGTAAAACTCGCCAATTTTCAACATGTGCTAAAGCTAGAGCTACAGATGAGGCTAACACAGACCTGAGATGCTAGCTTTGAACCTTGTCTCCGCGCCACAATCTTATTCTGTAGATTCTTAGATATTTATAAAAATCTTTTTGTTTTTTTCATTCAATACATTCTGTGCTCAGAAAAACCTCATTTCACCTTACACCTGTCTCCGCCCATTCCTCTGTACTTAATCATTTCAAGATTTCAAGATTTCAAGATTTTTATTTGTCAAACCAAGTGAATTGTTTGAAATTATATTCCTCTAATCCTTGATTGTGGAGCGGGGGGTGGGGAAGAGGGGTGGGGGGAGAGGGGTGGGGCAGAGGGGTGGGGCAGAGGGGTGGGGGGGGGGCAGGGAGTTTAGCTTCCTGATGGCCTTGTGAATGAAACTGTTTTTAAGTCGACTGGAACTGTTCCGTAAATTCTGCAGTCTCCTCCCTGAAGGCCCCTGAAGAGCCTGTGTGATGGGTGCGTAGGGTCCCTGGTGATTCTGACGGCTTTGCGGGTGAGACGGGTGAGACGGTTGAGACGGTGGAGTACATGTCCTTAAAGGTAGGGAGGGGCTCCACAGATCTTCTCTGCTGCTCTCCTTCGGCAGGAGGCAGTGCTGGTGCCGTGCCACCCAGTGATGGAGCTGGTCATGATGCTCTCTACAGTCCCTCTGTAGAAGTTGCACATAACGGAGGCCGGGACTCCTGTAGGGACTCCTGTAGGGACTCCTGTAGGGACTCCTGTAGGGCCTCCTGTAGGGACTCCTGTAGGGCCTCCTGTAGGGCCTCCTGTAGGGACTCCTGTATGGACTCCTGTAGGGCCTCCTGTAGGGCCTCCTGTAGGGCCTCCTGTAGGGACTCCTGTATGGACTCCTGTAGGGCCTCCTGTAGGGCCTCCTGTAGGGACTCCTGTAGGGACTCCTGTAGGGCCTCCTGTAGGGCCTCCTGTGGGGCCTCCTGTAGGGACTCCTGTAGGGCCTCCTGTAGGGCCTCCTGTAGGGACTCCTGTAGGGACTCCTGTAGGGATTCCTGTAGGGACTCCTGTAGGGCCTCCTGTAGGGCCTCCTGTAGGGCCTCCTGTAGGGACTCCTGTAGGGACTCCTGTAGGGCCTCCTGTAGGGCCTCCTGTAGGGCCTCCTGTAGGGACTCCTGTAGGGACTCCTGTAGGGACTCCTGTAGGGCCTCCTGTAGGGACTCCTGTAGGGCCTCCTGTGGGGCCTCCTGTAGGGACTCCTGTAGGGCCTCCTGTAGGGCCTCCTGTAGGGACTCCTGTAGGGACTCCTGTAGGGACTCCTGTAGGGACTCCTGTAGGGACTCCTGTAGGGACTCCTGTAGGGCCTCCTGTAGGGCCTCCTGTAGGGACTCCTGTAGGGACTCCTGTAGGGCCTCCTGTAGGGCCTCCTGTAGGGACTCCTGTAGGGACTCCTGTAGGGACTCCTGTAGGGCCTCCTGTAGGGCCTCCTGTAGGGACTCCTGTAGGGACTCCTGTAGGGACTCCTGTAGGGCCTCCTGTAGGGCCTCCTGTAGGGCCTCCTGTAGGGACTCCTGTAGGGCCTCCTGTAGGGCCTCCTGTAGGGACTCCTGTAGGGACTCCTGTAGGGACTCCTGTAGGGACTCCTGTATGGACTCCTGTAGGGCCTCCTGTAGGGACTCCTGTAGGGCCTCCTGTAGGGACTCCTGTAGGGACTCCTGTAGGGACTCCTGTAGGGACTCCTGTAGGGACTCCTGTAGGGACTCCTGTATGGACTCCTGTAGGGCCTCCTGTAGGGCCTCCTGTAGGGCCTCCTGTAGGGACTCCTGTAGGGACTCCTGTAGGGACTCCTGTAGGGACTCCTGTAGGGACTCCTGTAGGGCCTCCTGTAGGGCCTCCTGTAGGGACTCCTGTAGGGCCTCCTGTAGGGACTCCTGTATGGACTCCTGTAGGGACTCCTGTAGGGACTCCTGTAGGGCCTCCTGTATGGACTCCTGTAGGGACTCCTGTAGGGACTCCTGTAGGGACTCCTGTAGGGACTCCTGTAGGGACTCCTGTAGGGACTCCTGTATGGACTCATGTAGGGCCTCCTGTAGGGACTCCTGTAGGGACTCCTGTAGGGACTCCTGTATGGACTCCTGTAGGGCCTCCTGTAGGGACTCCTGTAGGGCCTCCTGTAGGGACTCCTGTAGGGCCTCCTGTAGGGCCTCCCGTAGGGCCTCCTGTAGGGCCTCCTGTAGGGCCTCCTGTAGGGCTTCCTGTAGGGCCTCCTGTAGGGCCTCCTGTAGGGACTCCTGTAGGGCCTCCTGTAGGGCCTCCTGTAGGGACTCCTGTAGGGACTCCTGTAGGGACTCCTGTAGGGCCTCCTGTAGGGACTCCTGTAGGGACTCCTGTAGGGACTCCTGTAGGGCCTCCTGTAGGGCCTCCTGTAGGGCCTCCTGTAGGGCCTCCTGTAGGGACTCCTGTAGGGCCTCCTGTAGGGCCTCCTGTAGGGACTCCTGTAGGGACTCCTGTAGGGCCTCCTGTAGGGACTCCTGTAGGGACTCCTGTAGGGACTCCTGTAGGGACTCCTGTAGGGACTCCTGTAAGGACTCCTGTAGGGCCTCCTGTAGGGACTCCTGTAGGGCCTCCTGTAGGGACTCCTGTAGGGCCTCCTGTAGGGACTCCTGTAGGGACTCCTGTAGGGCCTCCTGTAGGGACTCCTGTAGGGCCTCCTGTAGGGACTCCTGTAGGGCCTCCTGTAGGGACTCCTGTAGGGCCTCCTGTAGGGCCTCCTGTAGGGCCTCCTGTGGGGCCTCCTGTAGGGCCTCCTGTAGGGACTCCTGTAGGGACTCCTGTAGGGACTCCTGTAGGGCCTCCTGTAGGGACTCCTGTAGGGCCTCCTGTAGGGACTCCTGTAGGGCCTGTAGGGATTTGTAGGTCTTAAATACTGCTCAAAAAGCCTTTAGCTCAGATGCTAACTGTGTGTTTACTGATAACTTATTTGTTTACTGTTTTATTTCAGTGACAGTGAAACTTTTTGAAGACATGCCTTGGTTAGCCGCGCCCACAATTTAGGTTGAGTTTATTTATGGGTCACTCCCTGCAGCTGTTCACAATTCTTTGTTTAGATTTCATGTAATTTGAGAGAGTTCTAGTTTTATAGTTTTTTAAATAGCTAGCCTAGCTGTTACTAGCCTAACTGTTAGTAGCCTAACTGTTACTAGCCTAGCTGTTACTAGCCTAGCTGTTACTAGCCTAGCTGTTACTAGCCTAGCTGTTACTAGCCTAGCTGTTACTAGCCTAGCTGTTACTAGCCTAACTGTTACTAGCCTAGCTGTTACTAGCCTAACTGTTACTAGCCTAACTGTTACTAGCCTAACTGTTACTAGCCTAACTGTTACTAGCCTAGCTGTTACTAGCCTAACTGTTACTAGCCTAGCTGTTACTAGCCTAACTGTTACTAGCCTAACTGTTACTAGCCTAACTGTTACTAGCCTAACTGTTACTAGCCTAGCTGTTACTAGCCTAACTGTTACTAGCCTAACTGTTACTAGCCTAACTGTTACTAGCCTAGCTGTTGCTAGCCTAACTGTTACTAGCCTAACTGTTGCTAGCCTAACTGTAACTAGCCTAACTGTTACTAGCCTAACTGTTACTAGCCTAACTGTTACTAGCCTAACTGTTGCTAGCCTAACTGTTAATAGCCTAACTGTTGCTAGCCTAACTGTAACTAGCCTAACTGTTACTAGCCTAACTGTTACTAGCCTAACTGTTACTAGCCTAACTGTTGCTAGCCTAACTGTTGCTAGCCTAACTGTTGCTAGCCTAACTGTTAATAGCCTAACTGTTGCTAGCCTAACTGTTGCTAGCCTAACTGTTGCTAGCCTAACTGTTTTTAGCCTAACTGTTACTAGCCTAACTGTTGCTAGCCGAGCTGTTACTAGCCTAACTGTTACTAGCCTAACTGTTGCTAGCCTAACTGTTACTAGCCGAGCTGTTACTAGCCTAACTGTTACTAGCCTAACTGTTACTAGCCTAACTGTTACTAGCCTAACTGTTGCTAGCCTAACTGTTACTAGCCTAACTGTTACTAGCCTAACTGTTACTAGCCTAACTGTTACTAGCCTAACTGTTACTAGCCTAACTGTTACTAGCCTAACTGTTGCTAGCCTAACTGTTACTAGCCGAGCTGTTACTAGCCTAACTGTTACTAGCCTAACTGTTGCTAGCCTAACTGTTACTAGCCTAACTGTTGCTAGCCTAACTGTTGCTAGCCTAACTGTTACTAGCCTAACTGTTACTAGCCTAACTGTTGCTAGCCTAACTGTTGCTAGCCTAATTGTAACTAGCCTAACAGTTGCTAGCCTAACTGTTGCTAGCCTAACTGTTAATAGCCTAACTGTTGCTAGCCTAACTGTTGCTAGCCTAACTGTTGCTAGCCTAACTGTTGCTAGCCTAACTGTTACTAGCCTAACTGTTACTAGCCGAGCTGTTACTAGCCTAACTGTTACTAGCCTAACTGTTGCTAGCCAAACTGTTACTAGCCTAACTGTTGCTAGCCTAACTGTTACTAGCCTAACTGTTGCTAGCCTAACTGTTGCTAGCCTAACTGTTACTAGCCTAACTGTTGCTAGCCTAACTGTTACTAGCCTAACTGTTGCTAGCCTAACTGTTGCTAGCCTAATTGTAACTAGCCTAACTGTTACTAGCCTAACTGTCACTAGCCTAACTGTTACTAGCCTAACTGTTACTAGCCTAACTGTTGCTAGCCTAACTGTTACTAGCCTAACTGTTACTAGCCTAGCTGTTACTAGCCTAACTGTTACTAGCCTAACTGTCACTAGCCTAACTGTTACTAGCCTAACTGTTACTAGCCTAACTGTTGCTAGCCTAACTGTTACTAGCCTAACTGTTACTAGCCTAACTGTAACTAGCCTAACTGTTACTAGCCTAACTGTTACTAGCCTAACTGTAACTAGCCTAACTGTAACTAGCCTAACTGTTACTAGCCTAACTGTCACTAGCCTAACTGTTACTAGCCTAACTGTTGCTAGCCTAACTGTTATTAGCCTAACTGTTATTAGCCTAACTGTTACTAGCCTAACTTTTACTAGCCTAACTGTTACTAGCCTAACTGTTACTAGCCTAACTGTTGCTAGCCTAACTGTTACTAGCCTAACTGTAACTAGCCTAACTGTTGCTAGCCTAACTGTTACTAGCCTAACTGTTACTAGCCTAACTGTTGCTAGCCTAACTGTTACTAGCCTAACTGTTACTAGCCTAACTGTTACTAGCCTAACTGTTACTAGCCTAACTGTTGCTAGCCTAGCTGTTACTAGCCTAACTGTTACTAGCCTAACTGTTGCTAGCCTAGCTGTTACTAGCCTAACTGTTATTAGCCTAACTGTTACTAGCCTAACTGTTGCTAGCCTAACTGTTACTAGCCTAACTGTTGCTAGCCTAACTGTTATTAGCCTAACTGTTATTAGCCTAACTGTTACTAGCCTAACTGTTACTAGCCTAACTGTTGCTAGCCTAACTGTTATTAGCCTAACTGTTATTAGCCTAACTGTTACTAGCCTAACTGTTGCTAGCCTAACTGTTGCTAGCCTAACTGTTGTTAGCCTAACTGTTACTAGCCTAACTGTTACTAGCCTAACTGTTGCTAGCCTAACTGTTATTAGCCTAACTGTTATTAGCCTAACTGTTACTAGCCTAACTGTAACTAGCCTAACTGTTGCTAGCCTAACTGTTGCTAGCCTAACTGTTGCTAGCCTAACTGTTGCTAGCCTAACTGTTGCTAGCCTAACTGTTGCTAGCCTAACTGTTGCTAGCCTAACTGTTGCTAGGTCATTATTCGAAAGTACCTTCAGGGCGGAGTCAGTTGTTCCTATTTTCCGATAACGACCTGCGTTCTGTTCATTATCCCTTATTCAGGCTTTGTCCCGTTGGCAATTGTTATTTTACTGTAAGGCAGACACAATATTTTCAAGTTAAGATACATTTATTCACCGAATGTTAGCAATTTTTGACGTACTTTTCCTCAGTGTGTTCTTCAGTGCACTGGAACCATCTGTTTAATGTTTTTCGTAGAAAGATCCCGATGAGTCACTAAATGACTGAATAGATTCTGTCTAAAGGTGTGACTGTGAAAACCAAACTACTATCAAAGCTCAAAACCAGTTATGTGGATTATAAGGCCCCAGATCTAAGCAGGGCACGGCCTGGTTAGTATTATGATGGGAGACCAGGTGCCACAGTAAGTTGACTGTCAGTCCCAAACTGTGGCTGTGTCCTTAGGCAAGACACGTCACCCCCATTGCCTAGAATGAGTCTGGTGTGTGTGTGAATGGGCTGATGGCACAGACTGGTGGCCTTGCTTTGGTCAGTGTGCCCCAGGGCAGCTGTGGCTACAGTAGTAGTTTATCACCACCGTGTTTGGAGTGAAAGAATAATTATGTGAAGAGACTTTGAGCGTCTGGAAAAGCTCTGAACAAAACAGATGCATTTTCATGTATCTCTTTACATATGTAGTGTTTTGTTGAAAGTCAGGTACCTCAGCTTTAACCAGCCCCAGCCCATGCCCTCACATGTTTCCTCTTGTTCAGTCTCTCGTCACAAATTCGTCTCCGCTCTCCGACACAGAGCTCATCCTACGCTGCTGGTTGTTCCCGACAGTCCCTGATGGTTTACTTTATCCACAGAGTACCATTTCCGCAGACGCCAGCCCCGATAAGAGCGCGGCGCGGTGGACAGGCGCTGATAGACTGTGTGTGCTCGACAATCCCCCGGGTGTGGAGCCATTGTCTGGGAACACAAGGAGCTGTCGTGCCCGGCTCTCCACTGGCTCCTCGCGGCTCTGAAGTGGCCCCGACATCAGCGCGTTCCTGCACCTGCCTCTGAGCGACTCTGCAGATCTGAGCCAGAAGAAAAGCAAATGAGAAAGATTGTGGAGGTTTAGAGTTCAATTCAATTCATTTGTGTACAAGGTTGTGGATTCACCGACAACAGGAAAGGAAATTTAATAATAACAAACACATCAGAGGGTCCATGGGGAGAGGGACGACCACAGTCCAGAAACTCACGTTGAGAGATGGATCCAGGACTGAGTCGGTAGGTCCTCAGTGTCTGGGTGGGTTTCCTCCGTGTACTCCAGTTTACCCCACCACCCAATGCTTAATCCTCCCTATGGACTATTGGCTCTTATGTCCAGTGAAGTTCCAGAAAATCAAAGTATCAAGGACTTCATCTTAACCTTAGATTTTGGGATTTAAAGTTTGTCACGATGTGTTTTTTACTGCCTGGAAATGCAAGAGTTGTGTGGCTGACCTTTGGTGTTTGTACAGGATCAGTACCAGCTGTGGACCCGCCCCTCCCTCTGGTACCGCAGCACATTCCCTGGAGAAAAGTCTGTTAAACACTATATTTTCACTGACATATGGTACTAACAGCCATCTCTTCGCTTCACGCCCAAAGGATCCTCGCAGTGACTTTGTGCTGATGGTTCTTTGTGCTGATGGTCATGTGTGCTGATGGTCCTGTGTGCTGATGGTCCTGTGTGTTGTGTGTTGATGGTCCGGTGTGCTGATGGTCCTGTGTGCTGATGGTCCTGTGTGTTGTGTGTTGATGGTCTTGTGTGCTGATGGTCCTGTGTGCTGATGGTCATGTGTGCTGATGGTCCTGTGTGCTGATGGTCCTGTGTGTTGATGGTCCTGTGTGCTGATGGTCCTGTGTGCTGATGGTCCTGTGTGTTGTGTGTTGATGGTCCGGTGTGCTGATGGGCCTGTGTGCTGATGGTCCTGTGTGCTGATGGTCCTGTGTGCTGATGGTCCTGTGTGCTGATGGTCCTGTGTGCTGATGGTCCGGTGTGTTGATGGTCCTGTGTGTTGATGGTCCTGTGTGTTGATGGTCCGGTGTGTTGATGGTCCGGTGTGTTGATGGTCCTGTGTGTTGATGGTCCTGTGTGCTGATGGTCCTGTGTGTTGATGGTCCTTTTACAGAATGGCCCAAAGCTCCGGTCCACATGTGTGTCAATGCTGAGTGTTCTGGACCAGTGTAGTTTAGTTGCTGTGGACTTTAGAAGTCTCTGTTTAAATGAATGGGGCTCGTGCAGCTGACGCATGCACAGCCCCCGCGGCCATTTTGAATCACTTCACGAAAGCACAATTTTTGGCCCATTAGTTAGAACGGCGGAGACAGACGTGACTAGGTCTGTTTATATCTACAGTCTATGAGAGAGACGTAGATACTCTCCATTGTAAAGCTCTTTGCTCTGGTCTGTGAAGCGTTATATAAATAAACATGACTTAAACAAGGCAGTTTAAAGATGGCCGTTACATCTGCTCTATTTGGGTCATTTTGAGTCAAAGTCGTGACCATTTTATCAAAACAATAAAATGTATATCTTCTTTCTACGGAGGAAGTGGTCCAAAAACCTGCCACAAATCACCGGCACTGGTCCCGGTCCCCTCCGTCCATCCGCTCCGCTCTGCTCTCTTCCCCCGGCTCTCTCTCCTGCTGTTATGAACTTGGCTTCTCGCTGCTGTTTACACACTGTGGCTATGCGCCGTCTGCTTTTACGGCCGCCAGTCGTAAAAGCGCCCGGTGCGTCGCCCGCGGTTACGTTTGGTGCTAAATCTGCGGCGTTCTTTACGGCTCGCAGGTCCGCCGCCAAAGCAACAGCACACACACGGTTCTGAGGCGGCGGGGAGTTTATCCACACGTGTTTGTGTTGGGGAGAAAATACGACCGGGGTTTGCCAAGGTTTGAATCCTGTCTGTGGTTTTTCGAAACAGTCGATACAATCATAAGGAGATTAAAGCCACTGTTTATGGGGCGACAGCAGTGGGTTCGAGACCACCTCAAGACTTTCTCATTGTGTCCTTGGGCAAGACACTTAACCTCTGGGAACAGCAGGTGCCACAGTGGGGCGGCTGTAAAGTGCCAAACTGCTGTTGTGTCCTTGGGCAAGACACTTTACCTCCATTGCCTAGAACAGGCATGTCAAAGTCAAATACATCTGAGGGCCAAAAAAACAAATTTGCTGCGAGCCGAGGGCCGGTTAGGGTTAGCCCATTTCAGAACAGGTACTCCCATATTGCCAGCAGTTTCTGAGGATTTTTATAGATTTTTCAAGACCCACAGAATATTGTGTACTATGACTATCTGAAATCCGAAACCAGATTCTGAAAGAATAGACTGTCTTCTTTCATCAGCAAAAATAATTTTGTTTCTAGCTTGTAATCCCCAGTTGAGTAGAGGGAAGTTTTACTGAAATCACCAAAAAGCTGAGAAAAAGAGGCACAACAAGTGCATCTAGCTGTTTTCAAACCATTCAGAGAGCGCTGCTGCCACCTGCTGGCCATGTAAAATTCATTCACGGGCCGGATTTGGCCTGCGGGCCTTGACTTTGACACCTGTGGCCTAGAATGAGTCTGGTGTGTGTGTGAGTGGTTGGTGGTGGTGGGAGGGGCCGATGGCACATACTGGTGGCCTCACTTCTGTCAGTGTGCCCCAGGGCAGCTGTGGTTACAGTAGTTTATCACAGTGTTTGAGTAAATGAATGTGAAGCGTCTTTGAGTGTCCAAAAAAGTGCTGTATAAAACCAATGCATTATTATTCTATTCTTATTATTAAAGCAGACAGATGAAAAGAAAGACAAAACACATACTTTATGGATGAGTAAATACATGTAGAGTTTAAAACACACAGGAAGGAAATTTGATAAAGTGAGTTTTAAAAAGTGATTTAAAGAGGTTACTGATTTGGTTACGCAGCCTTGTCTGAGGTGGATCCAGAGCCGAGGACAGAGCATATGACCAGCTTTGGCCAAGTGGATTCAGTCAGACTGTACAACGAGAACTGCTGAGCCTGTACATGTCATTCATCGAGTCATTCAAACCGTAAATACTGGAATCATGTGTGATACTGCGACTTCAGGATGTCACTTTATCTACTTACCCAGACCTATGTAAGGGAACATGTAGTAGGTCATTGTGGGCCGACAGGGTCCACTTGGTCCACTTGGTCCACTTGGTCCTGTCGGTGCGTATTATCCCATAATGACCTGCGTAATATACATTATCCCGAATACCTTTGGATGCAGTGTTGCCAACTTAGCGACTTTGTCGCTAGATTTAGCGACTTTTCAGACCCCTATAGCGACTTTTTTTCAAAAAAGCGACTAGCGACAAATCTAGCGACTTTTTCTGGTGTTATTGGCGACTTATCTGGTGTTATTGGCGACTTATCTGGTGTTATTGGCGACTTATCTGGTGTTTTGGCGACTTATCTGGTGTTTTGGAGACTCGTGAAGCACGTATTGTTCTGCTGTCCTCAACGTGAGCCCCTCCCCCGTCCCAAAGCACTTACAGGCGGCCAGTCTCACAGTAGCCTTGCGCAGCAGTCCCAGCTACAGTCTATGGGCGGAGCAGAGAGAGAGAGAGGAGACTCAAAAGCACAGGGAGTTTTCAGGCTTCTGCAGACTGAACTCCAGCTCCACCACCACCACACATCCAAAGCTCCCCGGCCACTCCTACCACCGCCACCCCCCACTACCCCCCACTCCATCCGCGGCAGCTCTGTCCGTGACTCTGTTTTCTCTCAGTAGTGGGTCACATTAAATCATTTGTTATGCCAAACTATGAAAAAAAAAAAAACTTACAAAAATAAACCTAAGTAACTCTGCCAGAGTGTGTCTTTTGGGTCACTTTGCCGGTCCCAAGCCCGGATAAAGGAGGAGGGTTGGTTGTAGAGCTAGCATTTCACCCTACATAACAATCTTTTGATTACATTTGCTGTTATAACATTTAACAATACAGGACAAAACTGATGTGTGTAATGTGGATCTAGACAAAGCATTAAAATCATTAAATGTTGTTAATGTTGAAATTATTTTTGTACATTTGTAGTTCTAAACATATTTAGGGTGTTTTTACTCACTTTTGTCTCTCCCACGACCTTATTCCTCTCTCCTACAGCGTCCGTTACAGTTATTTGCAAATGGCAAATTATGCAAATTAGGCGATGACGTCATTTAGCGACTTCTAGCGACTTTTGGGACAGCCAATAGCTACTTTCCTTACTGAGGAGTTGGCAACACTGTTTGGATGCACTCTCTGTTTGTAATTCAGGTGTGTAAAATACTAACATTACTCTGCAAGTACAACAAGCCTTCAGCGCCTGTCGGGGGCTAACATCGGGGGCTAACGTCGGGGGCTAACATCGGGGGCTAACGTCGGGGGCTAACGTCGGGGGCTAACGTCGGGGGCTAACGTCGGGGGCTAACGTCGGGGGCTAACGTCGGGGGCTAACGTCGGGGGCTAACGTCGGGGGCTAACGTCGGGGGCTAACGTCGGGGGCTAACGTTGGGGGCTAACGTCGGGTTACGTCGCTAACCCTAAACCTACACTGCAGCTTCTCTGCACACACGTAAACACACACATCCTTTACACACTTCTCTGCACACACGTAAACACACACATCCTTAACACACTTCTCTGCACACACGTAAACACACACATCCTTAACACACTTCTCTGCACACACGTAAACACACACATCCTTAACACACTTCTCTGCACACACGTAAACACACACATCCTTAACACACTTCTCTGCACACACGTAAACACACACATCCTTAACACACTTCTCTGCACACACGTAAACACACACATCCTTAACACACTTCTCTGCACACACGTAAACACACACATCCTTAACACACTTCTCTGCACACACGTAAACACACACATCCTTAACACACTTCTCTGCACACACGTAAACACACACATCCTTTACACACTTCTCTGCACACACGTAAACACACACATCCTTAACACACTTCTCTGCACACACGTAAACACACACATCCTT